TTATGTTCAAAATCTTTGTGGATGTTCAAAATCTTCAAGAGAACCACACCGCTACCTGATTGCATATGCTAGTCCTAGATAGTCCTAGATCCTAATTCATACATGTAGCTTCAGAATAAGTGAATCGTGGAGCTTTTGAATCTTTTTTTTTATGAATTGATCACTTTTACGTCCGGACCTCCCGAATCACCGGGTTGTGGCCAGCAGAGTTCGCATGCTGGTCCCAGATCCAAATTCATTAATGTAGCATCAAAATAAGTTACTTAAAAATACGGAGCTCTAGGATCTTTTCTATGAATTGGCCCCCTTTATCTTTCGAAGGACCTCCAGAGTGCACATAATGGGTTCAAATCCAAATTCATGCATGCAGCATTACAACAAGTTGATTTAAAAATCTAGATCCTTTTTTACTAATTTTCCACATTTATGGATGTTCCGGGACTTCCAGAGAAATGCTTTGCTGTCGCTTGGGTCCACATTTTTGTCCCAGATCCAAATTCATTCATATATCACAATGTTCAAATGAAAAACAAAACAAACATTTCATAGATAGCAACGCTTGGGCCGGTTGCTATCGTGCTGCTATATTTGTCAACCCGCTGTTTACCGAGAGACAGATTGTTATTTCCCGCACTTGAATAGCAACCCCCAGTGCGGTTACTGCGTTATGGTGGAGGTTGCTAAAATAGCTTTAGCAACGCATTGGTGCGGGTGCTCTTAGGCATATTAAGATATGAGAGGGGCTAACTATACCCCGCCCCCTCACTCATATAAATGGAAATGACTGAAAGCTTCAAACTGCAATAACTTCGGTGTTTCTAATCTTGTCAAGTTCAGATGTATTCAAAATCATGTGCTCCATTTAATAGGCGTAGTTAGATATTGGGAGTTTACGGTATCCTTTCCGCCCCTCATTTATATCAATGAAAGTAAAGATAAAGACTATCCCCCCTATTCTGCGAGTCACGTGATTCTCTCTCACCGGTGAGGTGACTCTCTATTTGATTTGCATGGAGAGTAACCTCACACGAGGTGACAATTGTCACCCTACCGGTGACAGAGAGTCACGTGACTCGCAGAATAAGGGGGTATAATACCTTCGGAGTTTCCCATCTCTCGAGTTGTTTGGATGGGTTATTCAAAAACATTTGCTCAATCTCATAAGAGCAGTTGAAAAGCGAGTACCACAATTCCCTTCCCTACTCTTTTGGTGCAATATACAATGTCAGATACATTCACATAAATGTTATTGGATTGTAATGATTATATTTCATTTTAATTTAGGTATTCTACGATTTCTCAGGGTACTTTTTTCGATGTTGTTCTATCCCCTGAAACAAATAGTTGCTGTTGAACTAGGTCTCGGGTGGATCTCTTGATAAGTCAGAAATTAGCTTCACCCCTCATATCTTTAACAACCAACAAGGAAGCAACTCGTTGTATCGCATTGAAATAATCTGTATCATTACTCCACACGTTTGCCGGTGTTTGCATAAATCCGGTCGAAATTGCGAAAAGAAATCAGCACTGTTAGAAATGACGTTTGACTTGGGAACCCAACTGAAACGGAACCCACTTAAAGTTAGCCCAACAAGCGAAATTCGACTGTGTCTGAGACGAAACCTGTTTTTGGTTTTTGACGAACGACTTCTTCTGTGTTTTCTATATGCGGGGGGCCCTAATGACAGTTTAATATTTCAAATAAAAGCTTTATATAGAAATTTTAAATTTTCAACTGCTTATAAAGGGTGATACGGTCAAAATTTGGTCAATATCAACTTGACGTATTTCTTTCAATTTTGCATTTAAAAAACCTGAACACCCCTCATTTTGAAGGTGTGTGTGTGTAGAATGTTGCTCCTATTTTGATTTTGGAATTCACTCTTCAGTTGTCAAAATGCCGTCCAAGCAAGAAGAGCAGCGTATCAAAATTTTGCTCGCGCATCGCGAAAATCCGAGCTACTCGCACACAAAGTTGGCAAAATCGCTAAAAGTTGCCAAATCAACCGTTACAAATGTAATTAAAGTGTTTGGGGAACGTTTGTCGACAGCCAGGAAGTCTGGATCGGGGGGAAATCGAAAACCGGAAGCCGCTGAGACGACAAAGAGAGTTGCCGGTAGTTTCAAGCGAAACCCTAACCTCTCTCTCCGAGATGCCGCAAATAAGCTGGGTGTATCGTCTAAAACCGTGCATCGAGCCAAAAAACGAGCCGGACTATCGACTTACAAGAAGGTAGTGACTCCAAATCGCGATGATAAACAAAATACGACGGCCAAAGCGCGTTCCCGGAGGCTGTACCCGACGATGCTGACGAAGTTTGACTGCGTGGTAATGGACGACGAAACCTACGTCAAAGCCGACTACAAGCAGCTTCCGGGACAGGAGTTTTATACGGCAAAAGGAAGGGGAAAGGTAGCAGATGTTTTCAAGCACATGAAACTGTCAAAGTTCGCAAAGAAATATCTGGTTTGGCAAGCCATCTGTACCTGTGGCTTGAAAAGCAGCATTTTCATAGCTTCCGGGACTGTCAACCAAGAAATTTACGTGAAAGAGTGTTTGAATAAACGTCTGCTGCCTTTCCTGAAGAAACACGGTTGTTCTGTACTGTTTTGGCCGGATTTGGCATCTTGCCATTACGGTAAAAAGGCCATGGAGTGGTACGCCGCCAACAACGTGCAGGTGGTTCCCAAGGACAAGAACCCTCCCAACACGCCAGAGCTCCGCCCAATTGAGAAATACTGGGCTATTGTCAAGCGAAATCTAAAGAAGACCAAAAAAACTGCTAAGGGCGAGCAGCAGTTCAAGGCAAACTGGCTTTCTGCGGCGAAGAAGGTGGACAAGGTGGCTGTACAAAATCTGATGGCAGGGGTCAAGCGTAAGGCCCGGCAATTCGGATTTGGAAAAGCGGAAGCCTAACTGAATATTTTTCCTGAATTTATACTAATTGAACTTGAAAAAGAAATTTAATTTGATTTTTTAAATAAACGATTTCACCGATTTACACGCGTTTTCCCTTGACCAAATTTTGACCGTATCACCCTTTAATAAAAACAACATCTTCTCAATAACAAATGAACGGACAAGTGGATAATAAATATTTACACTACAACCCCCCCCCCCCCGCTCTCTAACTACGCTTATAAGATTGAGCAAATGTTTTCGAATAATTCATCCTGAACATACCAAATCGATAAGATAAGAAACTCCGAAGTTATTTGAGTGGAGGTGAACCAGCCTCAGGCTGAAAGCCTCCTAAATAAAGATAAATCAATCAATCCGAAGTTATTTCAGTTTGAAACTTCACTTCACTTCACACAAGAGATGAACTAGCCTATGGCTAAAAATCTCTTGAAGAAAAAAAAAACTTTACTTCTATTGATATGAGTGAGGGGCGGGGTATATAATACAACCACCCCCCTCCCACCCCTCCAACTACACATATGAGATAGAGCAATTATTTTTGAATAATTCATCTGAACATACCAAATCGGTAAGATAAGAAACTCCGAAATTATTTCAGTTTGGAATCTGACTCTCATTGGCAGAAAACGGGATTTTTGGTGAATTTAAACCATAAATATATAACTCTTTTTAGATACATTATAGGTTCGTACTTTCTTTGGCAAAGTTGTTATGCACTTCCTGGACTATATTTGTACAGTTGCATTGTTCATACAAAATTGTGGTCTCTATTGATAAAAATGCAAAAAAAAGTTAGTTTTCCCATACTAATTTCCATACAAATGTTAAACGCATTGCCGAAAACCGAGTTACAACCAATCGTCCCCAAAATTTGCACAGTTGTTTGGGACTACACTGAGGCAAATAGACTTAAGAATTTCATAAGGCTCGAATTATGAACGACACATATGAATTTCATAAGCACGACTTATGAAAAATTACCGTCTCACATGAGGTAGCTCTTCTACGCCATTAATCATTCCATTTTTCCAAGCGTTGACAGACGAGTGGTCCAGACACAGGACTCGTAATCTCAACGTCCATGGTTCGGTTCCAGTCTGCTCAGTTTTAATATTTTTTTGTCGATATTATTTTTCATAAGGCAAATCAATGAAATTCATACCGATTTCTTGTGGCTAAAATTCATAAGTGGTTCTTATGGAATTCTTACGTTTTTTTGCCTCAGTGTACAAATGGAACCAAAAAAGGGTTGTTCTCGATTGGTGAGGTAAAGTTTGCGTTTTTCCAAATAACGATGACCCACTCTAGTGTTTATAAAATTAATATTCCGATCAATAAATGTCATTATTGGTAATTTTTTATTGTTTTAAAGTCACAATTTTCATTATTTTAGTCGCTGCGACCAGTAATTTGATCTATTGTAGTATATCCCGTGTCCTTAGTTTAGTGCATGTCGTATTACTCCATCACTATTTAGAAATGATGAAGTATTCGGTTTTGATACAGTTGTCATTCTTGCCTCCATCGCAAGGATCCGACTCTAATTGAAAGATTCCGCTATTTATACCCTTCGGAGTGTTGAAACACCCTCCAAAGGCGCGCCCCTTTGTCAGTCAAAATTGGATTCCTTGGTAACAAAATTAAGGAATGACACCGATAATGACCATGCATCAGAACCCTAGTCTTGACCACTTCAAACTAAAGAACAACGAATAGAAGATTAGGAATCACATAGATGAAGACTAACTAACTCATTTTTTCCTTGTTTCAAGATCATCCTCGGTGGACAAATCCGAGTCTTGTCACTATCAACAAGACATAAAAAGTAAGATGTGTTCCTTGGATTACTGAAAAATCCTGTTCCCCTAGTTTGAAGTAGTCAGAACTAGGAATCGGTGGTAGATCTTACATCCCGTAACGTACCACGAACAGGTGATCTACCCACGTTACGGGGCAACACACAATACACAATTTTTCAAATTTGTATGGGCCGTGGATAATCGCCAACCCGGTCAGGTTTGTTTTTCATAGTTTCGATAAAACAAGGCTTTCTTTCGCAATCACCCGTCAACTCCTCTTAGTAAACAATCATCGATGTTCATCTTTATTCTCCATCGCTTACATCTTCTTTGATTTTACGGTTCCCTATCCAATACGACGACGGCACACTTACACAGTAGTTACAATTTAGCCATCCCTCGATAACTTCTCCTGCGAATTTCCCCCTATTTTTCCCTTCTTGTTCGTTTTTTTTTTTGGTTTCAACACACTACTAGAAAGAGGCGATTTTATACAGAACGCCGGAATACAAGTTTTTCTCTTCTCGGTTTGTTTGCGATTCCTATTTTTCGAGATTATTCAATTTTTGGGGTAGATAGTGTGTGGTAAAAAAGAACAAACGATTACATGACTGTTGCGTTTCTGGTTAGAGCTGAGTTTCTGCCGACCAATAATACAATGGCCCTAAGTTCCTACGTACTCGTGTCTGTTGTTTTCCTACTTTAGCAGCCGTCGTATAGCAGCTTCTACATCGTTACTTACAGTTTCTGTGCCTGTGTGTGTGTGTATAGAATTCCGGTTATAGTCAAGTTAACTTTCACATTTAAATTTTACTTCGTCCGAAAGCGCGACTCTTCCGTAGTATAACTGTTCTTTTTTTTCACTTTTAAATATAGTTTGCGTAAAAAATCACAATGTTTTCCTATTTTTTTTACTTTGTTATCTGTAACAATTTTCCGCTGAATTGGATTCGCCCTCAATTACCTCGACCCACTCGTTCCCGTTCGTGCGGAAGTTATAAGCATGCCTCTCAGTTTTGTGTTAGTTTATAGTTTTTTGGTTAGAAGTTTTTTTTTTTAGTTTTGAGACTACAAACTAAGAATGTTTAAAGTACTTATAATGAAATCATTATAAAAAATTCGAGCACTCTGATAGAAGTTTGAACTTTTTCCATGTTTTTACTTTACACTGGAGTACGGGACTTGACTTAGTATTTGCTTAGTCGCTAAGAGAATTATTTACATGAAAATTAGTAAACGAAAAAAAGAACGGTTCAAACAAAAACTTAAAATTGTTCACAAAATATATCGAAAATTTATTAACCTACTCGCCTAAACACTCACATCTGAGTGCCTTTGTTTGGTAAAAAATAGGTTAAATGCTAAAAACAAAAGGTGATTCACAATCAATACAAAACTAATATCGTTTATCCGTCGCCATGGCAGCCACCCACCGATGACAACAAAGTTTGAAATCTCAATCGTAGCATTAAAAAAAAAACACTGAACGAAAACTGCTGCTCTCTTCCGATTGTGTGCATAACTGCGTATGTCTGAGTGTGTATGTGTGTATGTGATTGCAGTGTGTGACGGCATTGAGTATGGTGTTGTGCGTTTTGCTGCGCTCTCTGACTTCTCCCCTCTAGCGCCGCTGATGGTCCGGAGTGCTCTTGAGGATATCCGGCTGGCCATGCGAGCTGAGTGTGTGGCTGACGTGCGAATTGAGCGTATGCGAGTGGGAAGTGAGGGTATTGTGGGCGTGGGTGGTGTTGGCATGCGACGAGTTGAGCGTATTGTGCGCCGGCGTTCCGGTACACGAACTTGGATGGATACGGGATCTACAAAAAGCGCAGGATGAATTTATGGCAATCTTCTCGAGCAATTTAAATTTTACCTAATGCTACGATGGCTTCCGTTCCTCGTCAGGGTGTTCATCTGCGGCGTTCCGGGTAGCGTGTGCCCCAGGGCGTTCATGTAGTCCGCAATGAGGAGTGTAATTTCCAGAATCTTTGGTTTGCTCATGGCGAACAGGAGCTTTTGCTCCGGACTTCCGGCGAGGGTATCGTCCGCACTGACCACCAACATGAAATCATCTTGACAACCACCGAAGGTCATCACCGAACTGTACGGATAGCGGGCGATCGACCCCATCGACGACAGTTCCAGCACGCTGAGGGCGTCTTCGGATACCGCTAGCCAGGCCATCGCCTGGTCGGAATGTCGGGGTTTGGCTTGGAAGAGAGCAGCACCGAAGAAAGGCCACTTGCGGGCACAGGTTAGGTATATCCGAACGCAGTCCACAACGGAGCGACCCTTCAGCAGGGACCACTTGGTCGCGACGACGTCCTGTAGCTCCTTCAGACCGTCCGCCGTTAGGGCATCCCTGTAGCGATAGGGGTAGAATTTGTCCAGTGCCTGCAGGGAACTGGTTTTCGATTTGTCCGCTGCATAGTCACCCATGTCAATTTGCGCCATCAGGGAGGCCAACTCCAGTGCGAGATCCCGCGAAAGCGGGAACCTTCCTTGGACAACTGAAGCGCGAAAAGGAAGCGTTAGTGCGACCGATTTTTAGCGGAATATTCACACCAATGGATACAAACCTTGCTGGTTGATTTGGTAGCTGAGAAGGAGTCGCTCCTTCTCGGTTTCCAGTTTGGCAGCGTGCTTCCAGTAGAGCCGGTTCTTGTACGTCAGTTGGATGACACGTGAGTTCTCGAACTTTCCGGAACCTTTCTCGCGGAGTGCCGTTTCCCACTTGGAAATGACGTCGCAGAGCTGAAATTACGAGGAAGAAAGACATGGTTGTAGAATTTTAGAACTAGCTGTTGCAGTTATTTGGACTTAATTGTAGAAGTATAGACTTGTCATTGAAGTCATCCATTGGAATGATTTAAACCTGCTAATGAATTTTAAACTTTCCTTTATTGACGTTTATTTGATGTCGTCCAGTCAATCTAGATGTCTTGAACGCTTCTTTCTTCGAACATATGGTACGCTTTGAAATCCTTCGAACTTTCCATCGAACTACTCTTCTAGATTTGCTCGTAAAGACCTCCCAATCTGGACGTGTTCTTAATGGGCTTTGGACAAGCCTATAACAACACTTCTGGGCATGTCCTTAAAGAAAATTTTTCAAAATGTTTTTCAAATTTTTGAAGAAACCTCTGAATTGTCTTTGAAGACCTCATAAGACCTCAAATGCGAATTCTTATTTCTGATGGATCTTATTATCACTCATGTATACTGCGCTAAGTAGCAATAGTTTCCCAGATTTGTGCTCTAGAATATTTGAAGTGTTAATCCATTTGAGGAATCTGTGTCACACGTCCCTTAGGTCCGCAGACGTGCCTTGTAGACAGTCCTGAAATGGTTAATTTAGAAGTGACTACGTACTTAAATTTGGTATTGCGCCACCAATCCCTAATAGCCTCGGCCAGAAATCCGCTTTTGCTTAAGAAAAATTATACTCTTATTCAACATATTGTTCAAATTCAAAAAGGTCAAAATATCAAATGTAATGAAATTTAAAAATTGGTATTTGTATTGATTTCGCGATAAGGAACACAACTACCAATTTTTACGAAATTATGATAACCTCTATATCGTTTTGCTATGGAATGGCTGAATGTGTATTATTTTTATATTTTCATTTAATTCCCTTTAAATAGATTTTATTTAAAAACAATGTTACAAATTGTAAAGACTGACTAAAAGTAAATTGGTACGCACAAAAAGACCTGTAATTTGTCATTCAATAAGTTTAAAAAAAAAGTCCATCAATGGTGGCTTTACAGTACTTTTAGCATTAATAGTTACATTTCTCCAGTTCAAACGAAATCTCAAGCCTTCCTCTTGATGGAGCCCATCAGTGGGAACGAACACGGAATTAGCGCATTTCTTCCATTTTGCCCGCATTTGCTGGATGTCCTTAACTGCCCCGCCGCTCCGTCGAAGTCGCTGCTTTGAAATTGCCCAGTATTTTTCGATTGGTCGAAATTCCGGGCAATTTGGAGGATTCATTAGCTTGGGGAAAAAATCAATCTTGTTGGCAGCATTCTTCGATGTAAACTTGGGATGTCATCATCGAGGGTATGACGAATGGTTTCGTTTTCAGGCCACAACTTCAAATCACTTGCCAAATCATGACTCTCTTCGCGAACTTGTCGGCAAACACGAACTTGAATCTTCCCGGCACATCCCCACGTCCAGACGCGATGTAAAACTTTTGACCTGCTTTGAGCTGCTTAAAATCGAGTTTGACGTATGTTTTGTCATCGATCAAAGTGCAGCCTTTGTGTTTCGTCAAAACACGGTCGTACAAGAGACTTGCACGCTTTTTAGACACGGAATTCTGCTTCATGTGCCGGTTCGGATGTTTACTGGCTTTGTACGACTTGTATTCTTTCCTGGCAAGAATGTTCCGCACCGTTTGAAAGCTGGCGTTTTACCTTCTGGCCACATCTCGGATCGAAAGACCGGGGCTGGCTTAAAGCTACCTCAACACTTTGCTGCGCAGTTGACGATCCCTGTTTCCAGTTTTTTCGTAGGTCCGCTGATTCCTTTGCACACTCAGGGTTTCCTGGTAGGTTTTGAGCACTCGGCAAACTGTTGTCTTCGGCATCTTCAGCACTTTAGCCAGCTTGGAACCGGACCACTCCAGATTTTCCAGGTGCTTGTGCACAATATTTTTTCTTCTTTCGAGTTCCATTTGACGTTATTTCTGAACGCGATCGACTACTTTGATCAAACTTGCATCAGTTGTTCTCTATAGAAGTGTAAACAATCCACTGTCGAAGATTTTCGATTCCCAACACTAGAGGCGTGCTTGCGGCGCGCGAGGGGCTTACTAATTTACTTTTAGTCAGCCTTTATTAGCATAGTTTTGCAGCTACAACCTGTAAGTTGGTTAACATGTCAGGATTTCGACTACCTGGAAAACCCTGAAATTCGGAGAATTTCAGGGAATTCTGTTTTTGTCCTGAAAAATCAGGGAATCTCATGGAATTTCTTTAAAAATCATGGAAATATTTCTTAATTCTCTCTAAAAAGTATTACCATAGAGGTAACTCCAAGACTAGTAGGTCTCGAAGAAACGTGCTCAACTTTTTGGCTCAGCTCTGGTACTATCTTCGGTCCCAAGCTAATTGATTCACCCCTCGAAACATAGAAAAATCCACTAACCCCTCATTTTATCTGTCAAACTTTTATAGCGAATCAAAGCAAACATTGTGTAGTACTAGCATTTCGACTGGAATGGGGTACGTTAATCGATTTGCTTGGGACTAATAGGAGTGGTTGGAAGACCCCTTCACCAGGCTGCACACAGGGAACGGGTCGACTGTGGCGACTGTAGGCATAGAGGATCAAAACATTATCGTTAAGATTAATGATTTATTTACGAATATATCAAGTGACCCATTTAGTTGAATATACTTTCAACTAACAACATGTTTCCTGTGCTTATCTCAAGTAACAATTCTAGATAGAGCTGGAATTAGGGCGTAACAGCTTTTGTAAACAATGACTTCTTTCGAAGATTTTTAGGAATTCAAGGCACGCCCACGCAATCCAATACAACCATCGGGTAGGGGAAGTCTTCCTCTACCCGATGGTGATGTTGATTTGCTTGGGCGAGCCTTGATTTTGTAGAAAGCATCGAGAGAAGTCATTGTTTACAAAAGCTGTTACGCCCTAATTCCAGCTCTATCTAGAATTATAGTTTTATGAAAGTTCAGTAGACCATGATTTAGATTTTTAGAATGCTTTAAAACCTTGATAAAACTTGAAATGTTACTTGGGTGTGCTACCAAAGATTTACCCACAAATAGCTTCGAAAATTTGCACGTAGTCACGATTAAAAAAAATATGAGCATAGAATGCTTTCGCTTGAATATTAAAAACCGGGAAATTATTGAACCGGGAGAACCGGCAATTTCAAAACGAACATTCACTGGCCACTCTGAATACGGAGCTTGTTAAGCTGTTCAAGTCACAGAAGACATTTTACCTCTGAAACTTAAGACATCAGCACTAGCGCAGGGTGGCAAGTGAATTTCCATTTTGAAATTCCTGGTTTTTTCCTGGTTTTCCTGGTCAATGATTTGAAAATTTCCTGGTTTTAAAAACCTGAATACAATTTTTAATAATAAAAAAAAATAAAGTGAATCCTTGTACCATCGTTCTTCGCGCAATGCGGAATTTCACAAACCAACATTTGCGATAACCCGTAAAATGAGCGATTTTAGGGGTGTATGACGAAGAAAAGCTTGGAGCCCTATCTAATGTCTGAAATTTATAAGCCCCTAAATCTTGAGATTCCTGTTTTTAAAAATGCGATTTTTTTTAACCTTATTATTGAGATTTTAAGCCAACGGGCTAGTTAATCTCAAGGTGAAATTGCGAAGTGTGATATGAATGAGGACTCTTTAAACAAACCGTTACTTCTAACAATTTTACGGATTTCCAGTTTGTTTAAATTTTCCGCAAATTGTCAACGATTAAGGATCTTATTTAGCGGAATTTTGATTACAACATGATTTCAAAATCATATGATTAAAAGATTTCATAAACAACGCTGGTTTGATAACTCTTATTATTAAAAAGACTGACTGCTGAAGTTCATAGAAACTCCCTAAAGTTCGTAGAACTTCCCTGAAGCGTTAAGGTCTTTCCTGAAAGGTCATTGAAGTTTGTATTCCCTGAATTTCATGGGACTTCCCCGAAGTTCGAAGGACTTTTTTTAAGATCTTAGAACTTCCCTGAAGTTCGGAGTTTTTTGAAATTCATATGAATTTCTTAAATATCGTAGAAGTACCACGAAGTGCGTAGAAATTCTCAGAAGTTTGTAAGACTTCCTTCAAGTTCGAAGAACTTTCTTGAAGATCTGAGGACTTCCCTGAAGTTTGAAGAACCTAACTGAATATATGAGGACCCTAAATTTAGAAGAGCTTCCCTGAAGTTCATAAGGCTTTAAATATCGAAGGGTTTTCCAAAAGTTTGTGGGTCTTTCCTTAATTTCTTGGAAATTCTCTGAAGTTTGGAGAGCTCCCACGAATTTCGTAGGACTACCTGTAGTTCAATCGACTTCTCGGAAGTTCTAGAAACTATGCTTGGAGAACTATGTTAAGTTCAGAGGACTTCCCAAGAGTATTGAAGTAAGTTTTAAGCAATGGCTTAATGTCGTAGAAGTTACATTAAATCTGTAGAAAATTCTGTAAAACTCGTCATTATTCCCCAAAGATTAAAGGACTTCCCTGAAGTTCGTAAGACTTCTCTGAAATTTGTAGAACTTCTCTGAAATTTGTAGAACTTCTCTGAAGGTTCGGAAAGATTTCCTGACCGTCGTAGGTCATCACAGTAGTTCACAGGATTTTCCTGAAACTTGTAAGACTTTCCCGAATTTTGTAGAACTTGCATGAAGCTCGAAGGCCATATCTGAAGTTTTTAGAAATAGAACTTTTTTATTGAACTTGTTGAACAGGTACTTCAAAGTAGTTACGCGTCGGCACTGCTTAGGTCTGCTATCAATTAAGCACAAATTATACATGCAATTGATTCGAGAAAAAAAAAAGAATTAAATTAAAAATAAATACAAAACATATTTACTAAATTCTCAGGCTAAATTTTTTGTCATCAATGTTTAGTTGTGTGAACGATTTAGCTTGAACAAAATGGTTAGTTTTGACCTGATTATAAAAAGAAACTTTGACATACATTAAATTTAAAACCTATTTAAATTATACAAACAAGATTATTTTCCTGGTGGATTTAGGAAATTCCTGGTTTTTTCCTGGTAAAAATAAATTCCCGACTTTTCCCAGTTTTCCTGGTTCACTAGGGCTTTTGGGTGTTATATAAATAATTACAAGAAGCTTAAATCCGGGAGTTCGAAGGTGCGATATTTGCGCTGCAGCATACATGTCGAAGAGGCAATGCAAATCTGTACAGTCCGTCAATCCAAATCCCAATGTAATCAACTCACCTTGGCCTGTGGATCCAGATAGTGCTCCAGATCCTTCTCGATCGGATCGTCACTGAACAGCGTGAACCCATTGGTCCCATCGCGGCAGCCAATCTCCTGCGCCAGCGTCGTGTGAAACTCCTCGATCGTCGACGACCCATCGAACGAAACCACCTGGTACGTCCCGTTCATCATGTGCACCGGAATGGCATGCGGCAACGAGTGGTGGTACGGGTTCTTCAGCAAGATCGACAGGACCTCCATCCGGGAGGGTTTCGTTTCGCGGCCGCCATTTTGCATGGTCCGCTCCAGAGCCCGCTCGCAGTAGGCTGCATACTTGCCGCATTCGGTTTTCGAGTCGGCGTTGCGTGACAGGTGCAACTTGAGGTACCACAGTAGGCTGTGGATTCGGTTTTGAAAAAATGTGAGCAAGGTGAGTGGAAAAAAAGGTGGAGAAACGCTTACCGATTGTTCTTTGGCACAAAAAGCGACACGGCTAGCGACAGGAGCTGCCATCCCTGGATGAACGTGTAGACCGGCGGGTTCGATTTGCAGTCGATCGGAGGAACCGGCGGTGCCTACAGTTGATATTCGGGATGTGTGCATTAATTGACAATTGGTATCATTAGTAGAAAAGAAGAAACCGAAAAGTTCCGAATGATTTCCAAACAATAAATCGAAAGGTGAATATGGGCGAATGAGTGAATTATGGTTAGTACTTTTCCCAACAAACTTCAATACAGAAAACAAACATGATTCGATTAGTAAAGCTACTGATTGGAGCGCATTTTGATTTAGCTAGAATAAAAATGTGAGTTTTAAAAATGGAAAATTTTGTTAGCAGCAGTTGCTTGAACAGAAAACCAAACAACAAAATTGCACCATGTTAGAAAAATAAAACCAAAATGGATGACACGGATGAAACAAAGAGCAAACCAAAAAATAAAACTCGAAAAAAGAAAAAATAAAAAATAAAACATTACAATTCCTACCTGAATGGAAGTTGGTGAGCTCCCATTCGCTTGAGCACTATTGCCCTGTAGCGTATCGCAAGTAAACAAACTCTGGGTGGCGCACAACAGCAATTGCTATTGTTGCAATTTTGGGTTTATTTTTTAATAATTTGCAGATTGGTATTTTAAGGTTATGGCAAGCGGTTGGTCGGTGGAGAGAAAGAGAAAGAAAAGAAACATGGTTGGCAAAAATTGGGTTCCATTAGTGAGAGATCGGTTGGTTCTAGAATAATTGATTTTATTTAAGAGAAACACTGGGCTATTGCAGATTGCTTTTCACTTTTTTTTTTTCGGTTGTTGGATTCTATCTATTGGTATGATGAAAATTTTACATGAATGGAAGTAACTCAAAAGAAGGATAGATTGCTTGGTACACGGCTTCTATATGACTAGGTAAAAAACACAAAAAAAAAAACATTGTTGCTATGGTAACAAAAATGTGATTCAACAAAGCATGCTGAAGTTTAAAAAAAAAAAACAAATCAAAGAACACTTTGATTGCACGGGCTTGAAAATTTCATTGACCGCCAACTGACAGCCGTCAATTGGCGATCCAATCAATATCAGAGAGAGCTTAAATCACGCTCCGCGATGATGAATTTACACTACACACACAAAAAATCGCTCGATCTAAAATTAGCACTACTGCGGCAATGAGATCTCCGATCGCAAGTGTCAATTGATCATCTGATGAACGATTGATGTGGAAAGCACTTTGAGATTTAAGATGCAGGATGTTGGTTGGGGGCCGTTAAAATCGTTTTTCTCACTTTCTCACGTTTTACGACTTTATTTTGGTGGCGCCGCGTATTCAAGGAGAACGACGAGACCCGATTCCGGTTGAATGAGAGAAGCTTGTAAACAAACAATTTCGAAATATGAAAAATAAAAACAGAAATCGTAAATAAGAGATTTTAAAACTAAAAGGTTTGAAGCCGAAACGAAAAGTAATTGAAGGAAAGGAAAAAAAAAGTTGAAGCATGTAAGCGTTGTAGAACAGTGGTAAAGTTCAGAGGAAACAGTAAAAGAGTGCCAAAAGCGACACAAGGTGGTTAGATTGCATGCAGGTGCGGTCACATCTAGTATATGATATCGAAATCCTGGACACCTACTCGTGTACTTGGTATTGTGGTATGATTAGCTCGGTTTTGTTATATTTTTTTTTAGTTCTCAGGAGGGGAATCGCTAATATTTAGATTTTTTTTGTGGCAAACAATATTCTAAGAGTGGGACGGGAAATCGGAGTTTGTTGGATTTTGATTTTGAATTTTGATTAGTGGGTTGTCAAAATGTTTGATGCTCGAGGTTGACAAAAAAAGGTGGGATTTGTCGAGCCAATCATATTTGGACTAATGTATACTTCATGGATCGAACATTTTGAACAAATTATGCAATTAGATGACCTATTGTCATGGCATGGGTTTGAATTTGAGAGCTACATAAAACGGTTGATAAATTCGTGCCAATTTGTGTTAAACAGCCAATCATTCGTGTTGACATTTGGAATGAGGATGACTAACTGAAATGTAAACAATCGTTAGTGAACTAAAAAAAACGGAAACAGTTACTATGGTTAAACTGGTAAACATAAAAAGGGGGAATCTAGGGAACTAATTAAATTGTAAAAAAGTATAGAATATCAAAGAGAAGAAGCACGCTGACGCACGCGTTCCCCTCGTATTCTTTCAACTGCAACTTACACGAGCCGGTATGCCCAGTTTCTTGTTTACCTGGACACCTACACCCAGTTTCTGGCCGGTATGGCGGGATGTTTGCTTAATCAGGGTACAGATCAACTCCGACTGCAGTTCCACCATGTCCAGACACAGTTGGAGGGCATTTTGCGCCAGGACCACGTGGTAATCAATGCCCGGCTGATTGACCGCCACCGACATGAACAGTTGGCAGCTCTACAGCGAACGGAGGGACAGTTGATTATCAATTTGTCAAGGTTTATATAAAGGTGTCAAGCAAACTAACCTTGAAGAGCTTGATGGCTTCCGCCTGTAACGTTTCGGAATGTAGTGAAGTCAAGGGTGAGGTTATGTTGTCCTTCGTGTGGAGCAATATCGGATGCCGCCAGAGAACGCAATCTGTGAATATACAGGTAGCTTTAAATAATACTCCTTTATTCTATCATCGATATCCTACTTGGATCGCCGTCAGTTTCCATCAGCTTCTGGATGAGCTGTTCGTACTGAGTACCGGCATTCGGTCCACCACCGGAGACCACCGTCAGGTGATACAACCAATTGTCCCGCTCTTGCTTTCCCGGTAGGATCAGATAGGTAGGGCCCTGCAGAAAAATACAAATCACAACTGCCTCATCCGAATCACGGTTAGTAAGAGAAAGATAGACCTACCACTCCCTGCTGCTGTGGATAGATGGCAACGGTCAGCCGTGCTTGAGTGTGAGCTGTGTCTTCACGTTCCTCCGAATCCGAGTCCGACACGTGCTCGACTTCCTCGACGCGAGCATCTCTCATGTTTATCTGACCAAGTGGATTCTAAAATCGAAAAAAATAAACAATCTTTCAAACCTTTCCAAAAAAAATAATCTATAATCCTTACCGTTTCGCCTGGGGCCTTAAAGTACAGGAACATCTTCCCCAGCAGCACACACCAGCACTTCTTCGCGTGACCGTTCTTCACCTTGGTAACCCATCCCTGCACCGTCGGCTTCTGGTCGTCCCTGCTGAGCAGGAGCTTCGTCGCGTTCCGCCTCTGGACATTCTGCAGCACCCGGATCCAGTCATCCATCGTCGCGTTGGAATCGGCCGTCAAGTAGTACACCTTCTTGCCCGTATCGATCTCGAACGTGGAAGCGCCCTCCGCTCGGTTTATCCGGCATGCCTCGTCCAGCGCGATCGTTCCCTGAGGTTTCCGGTTCACATCGTGCTGACTTTTCCAGTACGTCAGCTGGCCGTTCTTCAGCACAAACCATCGTTTGCGCCACGTCTTCAACTTGCCGCCCAGCTTCGCCAGGTGACCAACCTAATCAAATTCAAAGGGGGGGAGAAACGTCAACATCAAGATCACTACAAAAAGGTGTGCCGGTGGGCGGACCTTTTCCAGCGTTTCCATCTTCTTCGGCGAATCGGCGTAGGACGTCCGCATCAGCAGCGAGGGCATCGACGCGTCCATACAGGTCGTATCCACGGCCGACACTGCGTCCGGTGGTATCGCGTAATCATCGGACAGCCCTGATTCAAAGGACATTTCTGAAATTACTACAATCGATGGTGGTGGTGCGTGGTGGGAAATGACAATGGCGACCGAAAAAGTCGAAACGTGTGAAGGTGTGAAATTTTGGTTTTGTGTAGGAATTTAATCAGGATCAGGGTAGGAATGTTACGCGATTTGAGCGATTGAGTGGCAGAATTTTGTGGAGATGAAAACAAAGAGAAAAATCAAAATTAATTTTCGTTGACAGTCAATCTTCGGCACAGTACGGTCGAATCACTCTGCGAAATGAATGGAATCCCAGCGCTTAAACCAAGGTTGCTATAAGATGGTAGGATCAACGTGATACCGGCAGCGGAAGCATACAATTTTGAGGTTAATGCGTAGCGAAAAGGGTTAAGTTTTTCTTTTTGAGGATAGATGGGTTAGTGTGAGTGAGTTCTTAAGCCAATGTTAGCGTAAAATAAGCGATCATAGAAACTAGCGAAACGGGTTGGGGTGGTGGTGTTACCTCGTGCTTTGTTCTTTGGACTTTCGGACCCGCTGCGTTTGGCGGGACTCAGACTAGAGGAGGTTTTGAGACTTTTCGAAGGACTAGACGCACTGCCCGAGGTGCTCGTCTCGGTGTTGTCCGTGCTGGTCGAGTTGTGCGAATTGTGGGTGGACGTGGCACATGTCATGATGGCACCATGATCCTCACCGTCGCTGCTGTCGTCGCTGGAATCGCCGGTAAATGGCATCGATCGGATCTGGGAAGCACGCTGCAAAATCGAGAAGGTCAATCATCTGCGTGGGGGTATTCCATCTTAAGCCAACTTACCCCTTTAACGGTGGCGTAAACCGGTACACTAATATCACAGTATCCACCGGACACGGTTTGCGAACGGGAGTTCATCCCGATGCTGGACGTCATACCGGACCCAGACTCCTGGTCCTGAGATTCATTCTCATCTCCTGCTAGGCCATCGTTGGCCACCTATCGAAAAACATCCAAATCAATTTGGTTCAATCAATCAAGAAATCTTTACCACTAACCTGATAGATTTTGGCTTCCCAGCTGGGAAACCGGTGCAGCGGAGGCGTTGGGGGCCGCGGGGTTCCCAGTTCGGCCACCGAGTCCGAGGTGGTCGTACTGGAGCCCCCACTTGGAAGTCCCTTCAGCCAGGTGGGTGCCTTCTCGCGCGAAGGCGTATAGATCTCCGCGTAGTCATGCGCGGCGTCCACATCCGAATTGGGACTCGTCTGGTGGCCCGGAACGAGGGGTATTAGGGTAAGGCCGTCGACGGCGGCCGCTAAGTCTCTAGCTAATTCCTGAGGTTCCATCGAGAGGTTCCTTCGGTGATGATGTACGGTGGTGGACGCCAACAGGGAGCGATGCTCCGGCGGATCCAGCGATTCGCTTCGCCGTCGACCGCTGCGTCGTTTGTAGTCTTGTACGTCTAAGCTTAAACTAGATCTAACTGGTTGCTGTATACTATGTCTACTGCTTTGGGTTGCGATGTGGTTCCTTAACAACTCTAACTGTTGATTGCACTTGATATTCTGCTCACGCAGCAGTTGGTTCTGCTCCTCGAGTTCCCGCAATTTGTTGGTGACCCACTCTTTGATTTTCGCTGCCTTGGCACCGACCTGACGGGCGTCCTGGAGTCGCAGCTGTTTCTGTTCTTCGACGGCCGACTCGAGCTGCGTGATTTTCACCTTCTCGACTGGAGCTTTGGCGTTGGTGCTTCCTTGTGCACCACCACCACTACTGCCGCTGCTTCCGGCTGGCCCAGTTATGCTCTGTGGCTTGGGCCAGTCACACAGTCGTTGCTCCATGGCCCGGACCTACGGTAAGAAGAGAAGCGAAACGGAAAAATCCAACGGTTAGTTCAATCTTGCCAAACCAAAACAAAAGAAAGACGAGGAGAAATTTTCAGCATTCTCGTTTCCTCGGGGCAATTAAAACTTGTTCCTGCTCACACACTGTTTTCCCCGTACGGATGAACTTTTTCTTCAAAGCAGAATCTTACTAAGGTATTGGATAGGAAGATGTGCGACCACAATGGCTTTGAGGGGGGAGATAGAAGATTTGTTATTGATTAGTCTAAAAAGTTTTTCAATTATGAAAGGGAGTGAGAATTTCCCGGGAGGCATATTTGACGCAAGATTGTAGCATACTGCTGCTCTTAAGCTGCCATCGTTGAAGGCGCATTGTTTGTGGCAGATTTTTAAATAACTAGTTTCGTTTAACATACTTATAATATGCACTCAACGTTGCTAGGGGAAACTTAACTGAAATCTTCCTGATCAACGTGCCATTTTGGGAGATTACCTGAGAGACGACTTTTGATTTTTTGAACAGTTTAAGATCTTCAGATCTTCATCTTGAAAAATAGACCAGAGAACTTTATCGGAGATCTTTCAAATAATTCACATCATAATATATGTTCAACTAGCCATCTTGGAAGACGATCTGGGCTTTGGAGGCGAACCAGCCCAAGGCTGAAAGCCTCCCTAATAAAGATAAATAATAATAATAATAAGACGATCTGGAGACGTCATTTAAAAGTTTGAACAGTTGAAGATCTTCGGAGCAATATTTGATCAACCAGAAGTCTTGAAAACATATTCAGATGACTCAATTGAATGTTTCGACCAGCTTCTTAATTGAATGTTTCAAATACTTCCTGACGGCTGGTTATCTTGGAAGAAAATCTGAGAGGCGTCATTTCATGCTGTGAACACTTCCAGATTTTTAGAATAATATTTGATTATCCTGAAGTCTTGAAAACAATTCAGAGGGCATAATTGCTATCTTAGAGTATTACAGGCCAAATAGAAAAAAATAAATAAATTTCAGACTAGACCGCTTCCGATTTCCATGAAACTTTGGATAGGAGGGACGGGGGTAAAATTCCCATGCTAAAGAAGATCTCCGTTTAATGTACAAAGTGAATCGATATTTAACTGCAAAGCCATCTAAATGTTGTATTAGGCTATTGGCAAGATATTACACTTGATATTGCGATATTCACACGTGTAAAGTTGAAGCTGAAAGATGAATCGAGGCAAAAATGGTTCCGTTGCACTTCGTTTTCTTAGAAAGAGAAGGTATAATAATGCTATCTCTTTTTTCTCTTCGCTAATGGCAGACACGAAGCGACTGCTGCCACTCGTTATGGCGGTTTCGGTTGCGTTCGGGTGATAACGCAAACATTATGAAACTCAATCTCACCACAGTTTGGTCAGATTTGCAGCTGGTGAGTTTTGATAGCATGATATTACGAGCTGCGATATCGATTGATTTTTGACGTACACCGAAAAAAGTTTTCATATAGTTTCCATTGGGAACGCACATGATATTTTTCCAATAACAAAATTAATGATTTTTATCTGAAATTCACATAACATTCATATGATCACATGAATTCTTTGTGATAAATCACATAAATTTCATTGGACACATAAGGTTCATGTGATTTTGTAGTGCGATTCCCAATTATGAGATCACATGAAAGTTATGTGAAATTCTAATGGATATTTTCCATTGGAAATGTGATTTATTTTTTGAGTGTAGGGCTACGTATTTAATTTCTATACTGGGGGTCACATTAAAAAAAATCAAAATTCACACATGTAACGAAAAATCCCAAACATGGACGCAAAGATAGAGCGCAAATCGAACAAACGACACATTGCGCATGCTCACATGAGCGAGCTCATTGCTCGGTTGATCGCTCACCATTTCACCAATGAAAGGAAGGGTTGAGGAAAGCAGCAATAATAAAAACGCTTGTCAAATCGTTTTCTTCGTCATTTGCTTTCGAGCAACGGACGGATAAGCGTAGGACATGACGTATGAGTGGAACTGCACGCATCGCACTAATACGAAGACTATTTTCAGTTTTGAATGAAGTACTTCATTCAAAAATGCACAAAAACTTTTGTAAACATACTTTGTAAGGTCCTTTGCACGTGAACCAAAGTAAGCCCACGCAAACCAATACCACTTTCGGAAAGGTGAGAGTTTCCCCTACCCGTCGATGATGTTTGCGTAGGCGTACTTCGGTTCGCGTGCAAAAGACCTTACAAAGTTTGTTTACAAAAGCTTTTGTGTCGTTATCAAATGTTACGCCTGAATTAATTTGAGTGTTACTGTGGGGGGAGAAAAGTCGAAACCTACCTTTAATAAAATATGTTGAAAAACTTCGAATATTTATTATAATACGTATATTGAGTAGTACTTGAGTTTTCCTCTCACATACAATGATTGAAAAAATAATAATAAAAAGTTGATTTGAGAAATAGAAGTATTTTAAAATTTCAATCATATAGGGGAAATCGATGTAATGTCGGCCTAAATGCCCCTAATTTGGGCCCATACATAAATTCAGGCATAACATTTGATAACGGCACAAAAGCATTTGTAAACAAACTTTCTAAGGCCCTTTACTCGTGAACCAAAGTAGGCCCACGCAAACCAACAACATCATCGGATAGGGGCAACTATCACATTTCCGAAAGTGTATTGGTTTGCGTGGGCGTACTTTATTTCGCGTGTAAAGGGCCTTAGAAAGTTTGCTTTTGTGCCGTTATCAAATGTTATGCCTGAATTCAGCAATCGACTTAATATAAAATAGCGACCAAAAATATCCATTAGTACCGTCCCAATGACGCAAAATTGATAAATAGCAGATTTTTAGCTATGGGCCCAATCTTAGATCCATAGGTCAACATTAGAGCCATTTCCCCTACCTATCCGTGCAAAATTTTGAAATCTGCATCAACAAGCCATTTCTCCGAGTTGGCGGGAAGTCTATACAGTGGGACAAAATATGCATACTGATTTCATGCAAAGGCAGCATACATTTAGGCTTAATCTATGTTCTTCCTGTATTGTGTGTCAATGGTACACGCCTGATGAGTATGCTTTCCACACTACAGTTCACAGGGCGCATTATGCCCCACTTAAAGTAACGAATAGTAGGTAAGAAGGGCATAGTGAACAGGTGGGGCATAGTGAGCAGCCCGTGCATCAGCTTGGACTTCCGGCCGTTCGGAACAAATTGGTTCGTGGTAGGATCAATATCATAATGATATTGAACCTACTACCAGTTGATTTGTTTCATGCAGCTGGAGATCCAGAGCCAAACTGCGGGATGCTCACTATGCCCCTCCTCCCCCTATTGTTGAAAATAACTACAATTTTTCTCATAAACATACCAGTTGATACATGGGTCATTCCAGCTCAACTGGGTTCACAATCGATGTCACCGATTTGAACCAAATTTGGCCAAAACGCTTATTTTGGCATTCTGAACAAACGCCTTTTTTGACTTTGCTCTGAAGTGCCTAGGTCCTTTTGGGCTACAAGCATGGATTTTCGAGGATTTTAAAAATTTCAACATTTAGAAGAGATTACTCCACAGCCAAATAAGCTATTCGTGATCTTAGAACGTCAATTTGAAGGTTTTTTATTGTAAATTTTTATAGGTGTTCTTAAATTTTGTTTTGGTTATAGTAACTACAGTAAACAGGCTGATTACCGGCAGGTATCAAAATTGTCAAAAAATGGCCTATTTTCACCATGGGCGGGATTTTTTATTTCTTAATATTTTGAGCTCAAATTTGCACCACACTTTGGAAAACTCTTCTACTTGATGTGTTTCTAAGGGCAAAGGATTTAGAAAAATAGTTATTGAGATATGACCAGATGAGTGAGTGGTCTCTTCTAAATTTTGAATTTCTAAAAATCTCGAAAATCCATGGTTGTAGCCCAGAAGGATCAAGGCACTAACTAGCATTATGGTCAAGTTTAGTTCAAATCGGTGACATCGACCACAACTTTTAAAAATTCTGTACCCACTTGAGCTGGAATGACGACCCACATTCAAAGTGTTTTTTTTTATTTTACTTCATACGCGAAGTGTGCGATTTTCAGAGTTGGTTGGAAATGCTATCTAACATGAAGCTTTAGGGTGATAATTTATTAGCTGGAGAATGGTCTTAGAAGAGGGTAGGCAGATTGTTCCGTTAGAGTACGGCAGTATGAAAATTGAAAATGAGCAACAGTGCAAGTCAAACGCACACTCTTTGGATAACCCGTACGATGTACGCGGAGATTTGGAGTATGTCTTCAAATCTACCGGCAAAAAGTGTGCGCTTGACTTTGCTCAAATACTGCAGCGGCTGTGGAATAGTTCTAGCGATGATTCATCACTACCTAAAGCCCCACGTTGCCAAAACCATTTCCAGTCGATGGTGTGTTATAATGCAATTCTTCTTCACCCAACTATTGTGTTGCTCCTCTCGTCATGACCAACGTAGTTATCTTTCATACTGCCGTACTCTAGCGGAACAATCTGCCTACCCTCTTCTAAGACCATTCTCTAGCTAATAAATTATCACACTAAAGCTTCATGTTAGATAGCATTTCCAACCAACTCGAGCCGAAAGATGAAGGATGTACCTAACAACTTGCATCAATCAAATCGTTAATTTGGGTAGCGTTTAGAGATCTGTTTCATGAAATAACTTTTCTTGCGGGGTTTTCTGCCATATAAGTTTTTCAATTTTATAAATTTCAAATTACTTTATTAAATAGGTGTTAGCTTCCATTCACAAAGTACGTTTAAAGTGCAACGTATGCCAGAAATTTTTCGCCATCATGTCAACTAGCAGCTGAAATCTCGCGTAACATTTGAAAACGGCCTATGATCATAATGTAAGTAAATCGTCTTTTGATACCAGTCTATAACACCGCTAAACAGCTATCATACGTATAGGAATGTTCCGCATTATTGATAAAAATCATATAAAATAACTTCATCAGTGCCGCATTGATG